AAATGTAAGAGCAGAAATTAATGTAATAGAGACTAAGAAAACAATACAAAGAATCAATAAATTGAAAAGTTGGTTCTTTGAAAGAGTAAATAAAATTGATAAGCCATTTGCCGACCTCTTCAAAGAGGAAAGAAAAAACGTGAAACAATCAGGAATGAAAAGGGGGAAGTCACAGTTGATCCCACAGGAATCCAGGAGATCAGCAATGCCTACTAGGAGAACCTGTATTCTAATAAGATGGAAAACACTGAACAAACGGACAGATTGCACAACTGGAGACACAAAGGTATAACAATTTTAAATCACCTGATACCAGCCAGTGAAATTGAAAATGTAATTAAAGATTCATCAACAAAGAACATCCCAGGCCCTGACAGACTCTCTGTTGAATTCTGCAAGAAATTCAGAGGAGGACTAATGCCGCCAACGCTGAAGCTCTTTAAAGAAATTGAGATGGAAGCAGTGCTTCCACCATCTTTCCTGGAAGCAGATATTACCCTGATTCCAAAACCAGAGAAGAACCCAACCAAGAAGGACAAACCGCAGGCCAGTCTCTGTAATGAACGTAGATGCAAAATCCTTAATAAGATACTAGTAAACAGTGCAGCAAGTCATCAAGAAGATCATACGTCATGACCAAGTAGGAGTCATCCCAGGGATGCAGGGGTGGCTCAGTATATGCAAATCAATGAATGTAATACACCATATTAGCAGAGCCAAAGACAAAAATCACATAATCATCTCAAAAGATGCTTAAAAAGTGTCTGACAGAGTTCAACATCCATTTTTGGGGGGCCAGGGAGATGGCTCAGTGGAATAAGTGCTTCCTTGGCAAGCGCAAGGGTCTGAGTTCAATCCTCAGTTCTGCCAAAAATAAATAGATGAATGAATGAATGAATAAATAAATAAAAAATAAAAAAAACATCCGTTTATCATAAGAACCCTTCAGAAAATTAGAATAGATGATCTTTACTTCAATCTTATAAAAACCATCTATGACGAATCAACCGCTAACATATCGAATGGTCAAAACCTGCAAGTTTTTATTCTAAAGTTGGGAACAGACAAGGTTGTCCATTATCACTACTCCTATTCAATATAGTTTTAGAAACATTAGCCAGAGCACTTAGACAAGAGAAAAAAAAAAAGAATAAATGTAGATAGGAAGAGGCTAAATTATTATTACTTGAAGATATCATGATGCCATACATAGAAAGCTCCCAAAACTTCACCAAAAATCTTGTAGATTTAATGTCTGAATTCAGCAGTGTACTGGGATACAAAGTTAACACTCAAAAATCAGTAGCACTCCTGTAC